ACAAGAATTTATGAAAGCGTTACTCATCACAGGCTCCTCTCCAGGTTTACCTCTGAGGTTGTAGTAACAGAAAGCACTATTTATCAGATACATGTTTTGTCCTCGAGTTTGATTTTTATGTTTACTTTTGAAAACCCTCTTATAAAAGTAGCTTCAGGGACACGGCTGTTCCTCACTGTCCTTTGTATCTGTGAGTAAAGATATCTAAGAAAACAGAAACCAATTTAGAACGTTTTAGGTTGTAGTTTTGCATGTGCTCTGTGCTGAAACTGTCACTGCTCAAAATCAATAATTTACATTTTTCTTCTCTCTAGGGAGATTGGGCAGTGTTGTCACCAATTTCATACTAGAAATTTAAAGTTAAAAAATGAGCTGGAAGGTATGCGCTACGATTTCCTCTCTGCTGATGCTTCATCAAAGTTATGCCAAATTTGCTAAAGAGCAGTTCTGGAGAATATTTACAGTAAACTAAGTGCAAAAAATATAGATTTTAATTACATGTAATTAATAATCAGATAATCTTCATAACACTAAATCTGTGCAAGAAAGCACCTTATCTAGAATAAATGGTTACAGCCCTTCTTCAAATCAAAATACAACTTGAATTATTATTTTGACCTACCAGCAGAATTTACATATTTTATTTTAAAAGATTTTACAAAATCTAGTGTAAATAGTTAATGACAGGTATTTTTGTTCACACAACAATTGTACAATTGTGATTCTAGACAACAGTGGTGCAGAATATGAGAGGAAGATTTGTCAGGAAGAAAACAAAACTGCGTGGACTAGTCAAAGGTCAGTGAAACTTCAGATGGTAAGCAAATATCAAACATGAATCAATAAAGGTTTCCTTCAATTTGTAGTGCTGTTATTATTTACATCGTTAGGAAGGTTTTGAGCACCGTCAGCCCTTAACTGTGTGTGCCAGTTCGGTGGCTGGTCCCATCAGTGTCCCCGAGCTGGACTTCCCCGCTGCTCGTGATCCTGCTGGCCCAGCTGTATCTGAAGGACCCGCTGTTTGCTTGCGCTTGGAGACAGGTGAGCATTGCACATCTCCTGTTAACGTAACCAGCCTGACATTTCCTTACCCGTTTTCAATGTGACTGGGAGTTTTTCTATTTAAAAAAATAGAAAATGTAAGGTGAACACTAGTCAGGTTGCAAATAATCCTTCTAAGTGGTTAGCGATACAGATTAAGAAACCTCATGTTTTACTAACCAGAAGACAGAACTAAATTAATAAATAATTGAATGAGTTACAGGAGGGAAAAAAAACAATGAAAAGAACCAGGAATTACAGCATGATCTTGGTAGCTGCAGCCTGTGGAGATCATCTCTTCAAACAAGAGTTTGCAGAGGCTCCACTTGTTCCTCGCAGGAACGAATCCGTGCTGTGGTGGGTGCCAGCACGTGCTTCGAGGCTGCTGTGTAGGAAATGCGTGCGACGCGCCTTCCCCTCGGCTTCGGGAGACACCTTTTCCTTGCACATTTGAAACTATCTTCTACTTTTGCTTCTTCAGGTTGAGCTCGAGGGTCTCTTGAGGTCAGGATTAGGCCCCAAGGAAGGTGGTCTGAAGAAAAATGTTTCTGTTGTTGCAAATGTGGAGCGAGAGGTTTTGGCAGCCGGTGTAGTGAGGTAGAGGAGTGCAGGTTTGACTGATGTGAAGCGCGGAAGGAGCGGGGCGTTCGCCAGGCCGCTTTGTTTAGGCCAGAGAACGCCAGCGCGGCTGGCCGGGGAGGGGAGCGGCTGCAGCACCGCCGCTG